AAAAGGGGCTAGAGATAAAGACAAGAAAATAGGAGCACTTGGGCACGCACGCCGGGCGCCTGTGCGTGCGTGCCCAAGATCCCGAAAGAAGAGTGGAGGAGAAGGGATTGCGGCGTGGCCATGCCCCCTGGGGAGTGATTTCTCGCTTTCTGTCTCTCTGTCTATCTCTGTCTGTCTGGCGAGCGCACACGCCCTATAGCGAAAACCTCTCCAAAAAAAGATAAAAGAAAAGAAAATAGGAGCGCTAAAGCCAAAGAAATTCCTGAGATGGATCTTTCAGGTTATTGGCAGCATGAGGCTGCAGTTAGATGCCATTGGACTATAAGAATGTGATTTACTGGGAGTGGAGTTTGGAGAGCAGATCGCGATGAAATTAAACATTCCTGATGAATATTTTCAACTAGCAGTAAGCCAGCCTATGAGCAATGAAGTGGGACTGGGGTAAACCCATTGGGAATGGGGAACTGAGCCTTGGAAGGCTCAGTAAGGATGACAGGTGGATGATGGAGCTAAGACTCACATCCGGGCTTATTTGACTCCAAGGGCTATGTTTGCACTGTGAGCTTCATAACATGTTGGAGTTTCATTTTGAAAAGAGAACTTATATTTTTTTCTATTGTATTTTAAAGTTTATTTGCATTTTTTTTTGAGAGGTTTTTGCTATAGGGCGCGTGCGCTCGCCAGACAGACAGAGAGAGACAGAGAGATAGAAAGCAGGAAATCACCCCCCAGGGGGGATGGCCACGACGCAATCCCTTCTCCTCCATTCTCCTCTCAGGATCTTGGGCACGCACGCACACGCGCCCGGCGTGAGTTTAAGCCACCGGGTCCGGGACTCGAACCGCGGTCAACTACGTGGGAGTCCAGCGACATAGCCATTACGCTAACTGCTGGTCCCAAGTTTACTTGCATTTTTCATGAGAGAGAGAGAGAGAGAGGAGAGAGACAGCACCGCTATTCGGGTCTTGCTGCCACAATCTACCCCCAGACTTTAGCCAGTCCTGGTTCACGGCAGGTGTGTGTCCTGTGCTCAGGGAGGTCTGTGGATCTAAACCGGAAACGTGCTCACATGGGATTGCTTCACAGGGCATCCTATTTTACCACTGCACCACTGTTCAGCCCGTCACTTCTTGCATGACATTGAACGTGTCCCACCTGCCTTTTGCATTCTTTGGGTGTTCTCCTACAGGATAGCTCTGATCCTGCAGATTGCAATGTTTATTTCCTCTTTAGCACTTGAGGTCATCTTCAACTGTCTTCCCCACGTTAGTTGCTGAAGTGTGAGAAATGAGAGAAGACGGCCCTGCCAGCCTCATGCCGGTGCTTCTATGCAGTCCATGTCACATGAATTTCTTCCTTCCCTGAGTACCATTTGCTTATAAGCATGGCACTTAAGTTGTTTGCCTTTTCTCCTGTTGGGGAAAAAAAGAGAGAGAGAGAGAGAGAGAGAGATCATAAGTGAATATGGCTTCAGTTTCCTTCTCAGAGACTACACATTCTATTTGCTTGATTCACTACAATACAAATACGTGTTCCTGGCGAGGGGCCCTGGGCCCAGTGGTGTGGGATCCTGTTTCTTTCTTTTTTTTTTTTTTAAGGGGGGGGGAAAATTTAAATTTTTAATGACATCTTCCAGTTTTTAAATGTCAGTAACTTATGAGTTAAAGTTTACCGTAACAACCAAATTAGCCATTTATGGTGACCCCATGGGGCCTTTGAGGTTGCAGTTCATAAAATCTGCTTCTCTGAGGGGTTGTATGGTACTGGCTGAAGAAGCCTGAAACTTCTCGATGGCTCAGAAGTACTTCTAGATGGGTAAGAGGTACAGGCTGGGCAGGATTCAGAGGAGCTGAGGGGAGAAAAGGAGGAAGGTGTGTGTTTCTGCTACTTCTCACCCGGGGCAGGGGTGCAGGGGCAGGGTTTAAGACAGGTGCTGAGGCTGGGGGGAGGGAGGGTGATAAAGATGTGTGTTTCTCATGGGCTACATAGACTCATCCCCTTGTAATTGAAGCTTACTACTCTGGGCAGAATACAGGTTCAGCTGCCTAAACAAAGACTGAAGGTATTAAGCCAGAGAGAAATGTGTGTTTCTTATAATGGTGGAGTGTAAGCAAGTGAGTGTGCTCCTTTTTTCTTTTTGTGGCTCTGGCTCATCTCATGATCCAGGATGTCTTTCCTGCGTGTCCACATTCCAGCTGCCAGGAGAGGAAGGGGTAGGTGGAGAAGGCCACTTAAAGGTCAGGATCCAGGCGTCAGTCGCATCACTCTGCCCGTGCGCCCTTGGCCAAAGCGTGGTGACATGCCACATCGCACTCCAAGAAAGGCTGGAAGATGTGAGTGTTAGCTGGGTGGCTATGTGTCCGCTGGAAAAGAGGTGATGAGATACTCAGTAGTCTTCTGCATTCAATCTGTGGGTCTCTGTGAGGTAGGGTACCCCTTACTGTACTCTCAGTTTACATTTTCTGCTGATTTTAGCAAGACTCTAGTGGCACAAATGAAAGGTCATGTTTGCCATCCACTTTTCCTGTTGGATATCCCTAGGATTTTGAGCAAAATTCCTGACTCTGTAGCCTCCAAGCCCAATTTCTCTGCCCTCCTGGAAATGTACGGTCTTCCCACTATCCCATGAATATAAGAGCCAAAGTCTTTGCCTGCCGCTAAGGATGTTGCTTGAGCCATTCTCCAATGCAGTGTCTCTCAAAGTATTGGGTGGATCTGCTGCAGGGCCGTATCTTAACAAGGCCTCTTCCCAGGCTTCAAACGATGGATTGGAATCCTTAGAGTGGAATCCCAGGAATCTGCATTTTAAACAAGTCTCAGGTTTATATGATTTTAGGTATAGTAAAATTTAAGAGCAGCTGTCCCCATGCTTTCAGCATTTTAAATGATTTGCTCTGTTTTAACAATCCAAGTGATCCTTAAGAGAAATAATTCTACTCTTTTGCAAGGCTCTGACCAATGGCGAACTAATATTTCCTCGTTCCCCTCTCTCCTCTCTCCACATTTCCCAGAAGCCTTTGTTCTGTCTCTGTTTTAGCATTTTTTTTTTTTTCTGGTTCATTTCTCTTCACTGAGATTGTAATGCCCCAGTTGGGACTGCCTACATTCAGTGGTGTCCTCATTGTTAGGTTGGAGTTTAAACAACACAGTGACGGTGGCTGCCTCCAGGCCCTTTCTCTCAGGTGTTTTCTGCAGGATTAGAGCCCGCTGTTTACTCCAGGGATCTCTGGAGAAGATGAAGAGCAAAGACTGAACACTGAGACTGACTTTCCTCGACGAGTTTCTCAACCATGGGTTTGGGCCAGAAAGTAGCACTGAGCAAATGCTCGATCTGCTGCTTTGATTTCTAGAATCACAGAGTATTGTGTCTTGAAAGACTGACTTCACCCCGTATTTCCTAAGTAAGGAACTGAGGAGATGACACATGTCCAACATCATCTAAGTGATTAGTGGGGTATAAGGGACAGAATTAATATAGAAGTAGAAATTAGTGATGTGGAATTTGACCTAAACTCCATAAAAAGGAGGTGGCTATGATATTGTAAGTTAATATTTGAACTTAAGTACATTCTCTTAACATCTCTGAGCCTCAGTTTTCTCAGCTGCACCCTCAAGATTCTAATAATACACAGCACATCTATAAAATACTAACTGTAGAGACCAGCAGATGGTGTAATGGTTACGTGGCTGGACTCCCACGTAGTCAACTGTGGTTCGAGTCCTGGATCCGGCGGCTTAAACTCACACTGGGTGTGTGTGCATGCATGCGTGCATATACAAAATCCTGAGAGGAGAATGGAAGAGAAGGGATTGCAGGTGGCCATCCCCCCTAAGGGGTGATTTCTTACTTTCTGTCTCTCTGTCTCTCATGGTCTCTCTGGCGAGTGCACACATGCTATGGAAAAAAATCTCTCTTAAAAAAAAATAAATGAACTGTGGGCTGGAACTACTCCAGGGCCTGAGCATGTGAACTCATTTCATCCTTACCACAGCCATGTGACACTGGCCCTACTACTTTTCCCACCTTCTAGATGCACAGAAAGGCTGTTTAACTTACCTGCAGTCACACAGCTAACACAGTAGTATTCTATTGTTGTTTTACAAGTTTTCAGAAATTTAATAGCTTAAGACTACCTATTTATTTTCTCACAGTTTTATGGATCAGAAGTTGGGGCACAGCTTAGCTAGGTCTTCTGTTCATGGTCTCACAAGGCAGCAATACAAGACTAAGGTTTTATCTGAGCCTTGGGATCCTCTCCCATGTGGTTATTTACAAAGTCAATTTCCTCATAGATTGGGAGCTCATGGTGCTCGAGTCTTCAAGGCCAATAGGAAGACGTCTCCTTCTTGTAAGGATCTCACCTGACTAGGCCATGCCCACCCAGGGTATTCTGTTTTCATCGAACATCAACTGATTAGGAGCCTTCATATAACTGTAGTGTCTATTCATCCCTTCCATATGACGGAATAGATTCATGGGAGCGATAGTCCCTCACCCTTGCTGTGTTCTGTTGGGTAGAAGCCAATGACACGTCTCAGCCGTAATCAGGGAGTGGAGCTGACAGAAATCCATCGCTATCAAGGGGCAGAAAACACAGCCTTCTGCCTATCACAGTGTCAACTCAGCGTGGCACCAGGTTGAAGGGTCCATGGCCCCAGATTCATGCCCTTTTTTCTCCCTTTGAAGAAAATGAACCTATTTTATAGCCTTGCCTAGAATTCTAAATAAGAGAACGCCCAGAAGATGTATACTGGATGCTAATAAAATAGCAATTCCCTTCACACCTGTGCTTTCAAAGGTCGGCTTCAAGAAACCCTAACTGCCTGAAATTTCGTATATTCAGGGAGAGGTTTCTCTGAACATTCTCTCGTATTCATGTCATATAAGCTGTCTCGATGTGTGCATGTTTTTCTGAGGCAGAAATAACCCTGGGGGTTGGGATTTGAGACTTGGGTTTTCAGAAAAATAATTTTAGCCCTGCTTTTTGTCCTTAAAACAGATGAAGTGATTGAGAAGAAACAGTGAACAACTTCTTTTGTACACAGGACACCATGGATCAGCCATTTACTGTGAATTCTCTGGTAAGTCTCACGGCCTGATATCTTAGGCCCGGTTGGAAAGCCCAAAAAGAAAAAGAGAAACATACCCAGTGTGAAATGAGTCACTGTTACTTGAAGAAGTGTAGCGCTTGTTATTTTTATCTATCTGCATGGCCATCTCCTTTGAGGAAGTGACTAATACAACCATCTTCACTAGTCTTAAAAATATATATTTTTTCCCACAAGAAATATGAAAATTTAACTTGTTTCACTCATTCCAAGAGCTTAGTCTTTTGGCCAAGCACCAGCTGACACAGTAGCAGGTCCTGAGACCTCGCTGTGCCTCAGCTCTTTGCAGTACTAATGGGAGGCGTACCTGGTGTGGCGATGATCCATTTAGCACCTGGGCGTTCTGTAAACACCTGCATACCTGGAACTCTCGTGCCTCTCACCTTTGCCCTTCCTCCCCAACACTGTGCATGCGTTCTGTAGCTGTGTCTTAGATAAAGCATGTGCTGGGGAGGAAATAGCAGGGGCCGTGGGGTCATGCAAGCTTCTTCTGTGTCCCAGATCAGTCCGTAGTGTGAATACAGGCACGTTATGTAATCTGCATGGCCCCAGCCTTTTACTTGGTACCTTATGTCATTTGGAAATGACAGTTTTCATGTCCCCAGCCTCTTGTGGTGACTTGAAAAATGGAAACTGTTAGGATCATTCCCCTCTTCCTGGCAACCCTCCCCACCCCTCTCACAGCACCCCTGTAAAAGGAGCCAGCCCTGGGAGCAGCAGTGCACTGGATACCTCATACACAATGAGTGGAAAATAATTCTTTCCCCCAAGGAGTTCATCGGGGTGGAGAACATTTTTATACAAATTATTATAATTTACTGAGAGCGGCATAGCAATAAAATAGGGAAAAAATGACTTTTAGACATATGGGAGGTTGAAAGCCCCTTTAGAAATGCTCTAATTTCTGTGAATCTCTTTTCAGTCATTTTCTTATATCCTCGAAGTGATTATCTGTGGTGAAATAACAATATTTTCATGTGGTGCTGTTAAGTTTGGTGAGTGTGGTCAGGGGAAAGTGGGTGGATGGCTGTAACGCTGGAGAGGACTCCTTGGAAAAGACTGGAATCTCAGACCACAGACATGGAGCTCATAGTCTCTGATTCCCATGTCTGATGTGGAGAGGCCTCCAAACACTTTTTTGAAATTAGAAAGTCTTTGAGAGAGTTAGAGGAGAAGCACAACAGGGTGTAGATCAAAGGAACTGTGTTTGAATTTGAGATGAAGTCATTGAGGAAGAGCTTGAGTATTGGGGTTGCTGCAAGGCACACCTCTGCTTTCAGAACTCTGGCTCAAGTGAGAATAAATAAAAGATACCAGGTGAGGAGAAAAATGGAGTGTGCCCTTTATTCCTGGGAAGTTGGGCCAGGAAATTCTCCCTCCTGGGGAACGTGGGAGACCGATGTCTAGTGATCTCTCCTGCTCCAAAGGGAACTGGCTTACCCACCCACTCATACGAGAGAGAGCTGGGAGCTTCAGGGAGAGGAGGCTCAGCCCTGAGAGCCTCCTTGTGAAGGAAGAAATGGGGAGCAAGATTCATTTCCCTTGATCAGGCCCAAGCCAACGAACACTGGAAGGAGTGAGAGGAATGACCTGCTTCTTACTTACCAGTCTTGAGAAACAAGTTTATGGCTCTGTGGTTATATATTAAACCTTTAGGAGCAGAGCCATTTCAGATCTCTGGGGTTCTATCTGCTATAAAGTTGTTATTCAAAGTAGAACAGAAGGAATTGGAAAAAAATTGAATATCTAATTCACTACACTGTCCCTGAAGGTTGGTTCGGTAATCGATGGCCAGACCAAATCTATGTCTTCTTTGATTTCTTTCACAGCTTTCAGCGGGCCTTGATCCAGCGTTCTGCCCACTCTGTGGTCAGAGTTAGAGCCTACTTTAACAGGCTGAGCAGACCTTGGAAAGCTCTGGGCTGACACCATGCTTGGAGAGGCAGATTACAAGAGGGTGGTTGGTGTAAAGCAGTGCTCTGCAAACTGTGCACCCTTCCCAACCTCTGGAAGTGCTGGTTAGAACAGTGATCCTCCAGCCCAGAGACCCCTGAGCTAGTAGATCTGAGGTGGTCTTGCTAGGAATTCAGTTTTACAGAATGTACAGTCGACGCTGATGCTGTTGGTTCATGGGCCAGACTTTGAGACACACAACCAAGGGCCCACTCACATGATCTAAGGGCCAAGTTCATCTGTTTGTTTTTGTAAAGAATTGTCAGAGGACTGGCTCCTTGGCCTGGTGGTTGAGGTAGCAGGGTCCCACACGGTTAACCACACGATTAGAGTTCCAGACGCAGAGGCCTGTGAAACACACTGGGTGTATGTGTGTGACAGGGTAGAGTCAATGGAGGGTAGGGATTGCAGTGTGACCCTTTCCCATGGGGGGCATGTCACCTCCTCTCTCTCCGACTGTGTCATTCTGTCTCTCTTTGGTGAGATTACATGTGTCCTTTGGAAAAATTAGAAAAGAAAAAAGAAAGAAAGAAGAAAAAAAAAAAAAGAAAGAAAATTTAGAACACAGCCAGGCTCTTTTGTTTCCCTGTCATCTATGGCTGCATTTGCAGCAGGAGAGCTGAATTTAGGTCAGTTCAGAGAACATATAGCTAACTGGGAATGTGTAAGATATTCTGTTTGGCCCTTAACAGGGGGGAAAATGTTTCTTTGTTCTTCTGAAGCACAGTTTTTTTGTTTTTGTTTTTCCTATAAGGTGCATGCCCTCATCAGAAACAGACACAGAGAGAGGAAAGGGAGGAAGCACCTGTCAGGGGCAATGACTATGCCCTATTCCTTTGTCCTCTATGCTCTTCTTGGGATTTCTGGGCACACAGGCCCATGTGCTCATAGTGTGTCTCATGCCACTGGGTTCAGGACTTGAACTACACAGCCGTCTGTGAGATCCAGCTGTCTTAACCACCATGCCACCTGCTGGTGTCAGCACTGACTTTTTAAATAAATACTTGAGTAGTTTTTTTCAATTTATATTCTCTATGCTTTTCTAAACGTGTGTAGATGGCTGTTCATATCAGTAAAATTCAAATGTATTCATATCACTTTTTCTTAGTACATTATTACTGTAATTTTCTTTTTTCTTTTTTTTTTTCCCCTTAGGTTTTTGCCATGCGGCACTTGCACTTGTCAAAGACAGACACAAAGGGACCAGCAGTTAGCATAATGGCTATGTCACTGGTCTCCCACGTAGTCGACCGCGGTTCAAGTCCTGGACCCGTTGTCTTAAACGCACGCCGGGCACGTGTGCGTGCGTGCCCAAGATCCCGAGAGGAGAATGGAGGAGAAGGGATTGCGGCGTGCCCCTCCCCCCCCGGGCGTGATTTCTCACTTTCTGTCTCTCTGTCTCTCTCTGTCTTTCTGGTGAGCGCACGCACCCTATAGCAAAAACCTCTCCAAAAAAAGAAAAAAAAAAAAAAAAAAGAAGAAGACAGACACAGAGAGGAAAAGTGAGATATCACCCTGAGAGAGGATGGCTACATCACAATTCTTTCTCCAGAAAACTGGGGGAGGGTGTTCTTATGCTTGAAAAAGCTACTCCATGCACCAGCAGGTGGCGTCGAGGTTAAGGTGCTGGACTCCCACATGATTGATCGTGGTTTGAGTTGAAACTCACACTCGGACACACGTGTGTGCACCAAAATTCCCAAGAGGAGGATGGAGGAGAAGGGATTGCAGCATGATCAACTCTCTGGGGGGGAGATTTCTCACTATCTGTCTCTCTGGCAAGTGCGCACACTCTAGAGTAAAAAAATCTTTCTAAATATAAAAACATAAATAAAAAACTACTGTAGGACCTATTGGCCGTAGTGTTTTGTTTTGTTTGTTTTGTCTTGTTTTCATTTGGAGAAGATGCAGGGAGCCCTTGAAACTATCTTAGTAAACTAGATAGCTCTTGGCATAGAGGTGAATCTTTTTAACAGCTTTGAATCCACACCACCATCTGGAGACTATCCCAGTAGAACATCATCACCTATCATGACAGGAACCCATCTGTGGCCTGCTTCACATACCTGGGATGGAGAAATCCACAGAGAGATGAGGATATTTTACCTAAAATGACCTAAAATATTTGCATACTCAGGAGCTGCCACATAATTGTACCCAAGGCCTAAAAAGGTGTCCTACTATAGTAAAAATATATGTTTACCTTAGACGTGCATCTCTTTGGTCTGTTGACTGATACAGAAGTCTGTTGTTTATGCAAAAAGACTTTGCTTTGATCACATCATTGATGCTTATGAAAATATTTGTTTGGGTATTGGTGTCAGATTTTTAGTACAGAAAATACATCCATAATATCAGCCATATGCTTACTACACTCAGACATTTAAATTTTGCTTTGCAGAAAAAGCTAGCTGCAATGCCTGACCACACAGATGTTTCTCTAAGCCCAGAAGAGCGGGTCCGTGCCCTGAGCAAGCTGGGCTGTAACATCACCATCAATGAAGACATCACTCCACGCCGCTACTTCCGATCGGGGGTAGAGATGGAGAGGATGGCGTCTGTGTATTTGGAAGAGGGGAACTTGGAAAACGCCTTTGTTCTTTATAACAAATTTATAACGTGAGTCTTTGGTTCTGGAGGCCTTTGAAATGAATAAAATTAGGAAAATATTTATGTGATATTTAGATGTGGCAGTTTGGATACCAGGAATGTTTTTACATTTGGACCAATTTTAAAGTCGCCGAAAGCATTAAATGTCTGGGATTTTTAATTACCCGCTAATGTCTTCACATACCATCTCAGGCTTAGAGCCCAATGGGAAGGTCAGAGTCGGGTGAGGCTCAGGGATGTCAGTCCAGCCAGGAACCTGCCTGTCTCTTCTTCACAAGTCTAGTTTCTTCTTTCATGTCACTCTCCTCCCGACAGGAAGGTAAGCTTTGTGATGGCAGGAGCCCCATCGTGGTTGCATCTACAGCACCTGGAACACGTCACTTGGTTGAGACTAGCAGACAAATTGGGGAACATGGGAGAGAGCTAATTCAGGGCTGGGGTGTGATAGTTTCGTACAATACCCAGTATATATTTTTTTTAAGGCAGCTTACTTGGCTCTGTTCAAAAGAGCTGTGTTCAAAAGAGCTTTCAAAGTGTTGCGCAAAAGTGGCTACATCAAAACAGCCATTTAAAACTCTCATATTTTCCATTAGTAAGTGTTTGTTAGTAATATTTCTCGGATTAAGCATTAACAGAAATGGGACCTAGGCTTTCCTTCCGGCAACGCACTGTTATCAATAATTATTTAATCTAAGTTGATTCTTTATTTTTGTTTGATTGAAAGTCACGTGTTGATTAATTTTACTAGTTAATTTTTTAATAGATTTTATTTTAATTTTAATGGACATATAAAATTATGCATATTTATGATGTACAATTTATGATGTACTTAAGGTGACACATTTGATATCTGTATGCATTGTGCAGTGACTAAATCAAGTGAATTAGCTTATCCGTTATATATGTTTACTTTTTTTTTTTTAGAGAGGGATTTTTGCTATAAGGTGCATGTGTTCACCGGAGAGACAGAGAGATAGAGAGACAGTAACCTATAAATCATCCCCTGGGGAGATGGCCACACTCCACCCCCCTCTCTTCCATTCTCCTCTCGGGATTTTGGACACACATGCACATGTGCCCAATGTAAGTTTTAAGGCGCTGGATCTGGGACTTGAACTGCAGTCAAATATGTGGAAGTCCAGTGACTTAACCATGCCCCATCTGCTGGTTCCACCATGTTTTTTTTGTTTTGTTTTATTTTGTTTTTTTGCTACAGTACATGTGCATTTGCTGGAAAGACAGAAAGAAATAGAGACAGACAGAAAGTGAGAAATTTCCCTTCTGGGGGGATGGCCATGTTGCAGTCCATTCTCCTTCATTCTCTTCTTGGGGTTTTGAGCACACATGCACATGCATGGGGTGTGAGTTTTAAGCCACCTGGTCCAGGACTCAAACCATGGTTGATTATGTGAGAGTCCAGCAACGTAACCATTACACCATCTGCTGATCTCACCATTTTCTTTTTGAGAGACTTTTTATTTATTTATTTATTTATTTTTTGCTGTAATACATGTGAATTTGCCAGAGAAACAGACAGAGATAGACAGAGAGAGAGAAAGTGAGAAACTTTCCCCATGGGGGATGACCCTGCCATATGCCTTCCCCTCCATTATTCTCTCAGGACTTTGCCATTGACCATGAGAGAGTCCAGTGCCTTACCCACTGTACCACCTGCTGGCCCTGTTTACCATGTTTTTTTTTTTTTGAGAGATTTTCACTGTAGGGCGCGTGCGCTCGCCAGACAGACAGAGAGAGACATAGAGACAGAAAGCGAGAAATCACCCCCCAGGGGGGATGGTCACGCCACAATCCCTTCTCCTCCATTCTCCTCTTGGGATCTTGAGCATGCACGCACACGCGCCCGGCGTGAGTTTTAAGCCACCGGTCCGGGACGCGAACCGTGGTCGACTACGTGGGAGTCCAGCGACATAGCCATTACGCTAACTGCTGGTTCCCTTTACCATGTTTTTTATAATGAAAACATTAGAAATTTATTTGAGCAATTTTCAGATACACAGTATATTGTATGATTAACTGTATTCACTGGATTGTACCATGGAACTGAGCTTGTTCGTCCTTTCTAGCTGAGACTTTGTATCCATTGACCAGCATCTCTCCTACCTTCTCAACCTCTCCAGCCCCTCATAACCACCATTCTACTCTCTGCTTCTAGATCCCATATATAAGAGAAATGTCTTCGCATCTGGCTTCTCTCACTTATAATTTCATTATTTTTGATGAGGACTTACCAGCCGAGATCATTTAATAAGCGAAAAGATTTTAAAAAAATCTTTCTTAAGAGAGATTTTTGCTATAGGCCATGTGCACTCACCAGAGAGACAGATAGAAAGCAAGAAATCTTCCCCCCCCAGTGGGGATGGCCATGCTGCAGTCCCTTCTCCATCCTCCTTTTGGGATCGTAGGCATGTGTGGGCTTGGGTTTTAAGCCCCCAAGTCTGGGACTCAAACTATAGTTGACTACATGGGACTCGAGTGATGTAACCATTTCACCGTCTGCCGGTCCCAAGATAGAATATTTTTAAACTATGTTCTGTGATTCTAGCAGGGATAAAATTATAAGCAACTTAACCTGGTATACAAATTTCCAAGTTAACTTGAAAACGTTGAGAATGTTTGACAACCCTATGGGAATATTGTTTATTTTTAAAGTTAAGCTATGAACCTGAAATTGGAGATATTCTACCACCATTGATAGCTGAAACTTCTGTTTCTGAACTGTAAGTCCTCAGTTGAAAACATTTCATCTTCTGCTGTCTCTTGTTCCTCAAAAAGGTGGTGAAAAATGATTAACTCCTGCATTGCACCTCCCAGTCCAGTAGGGATTCTGGCTATCACTTGTCATAGTTATAAATTTTCAGCTAAGAGCTTTTGGTGCATACGTGATGGTGCTATTGATTCTTCAGTGGTCATTGAGTCTTTCCAGGGTAAGGAGAGATTTACAGCCATCTTTCCAAGCTCTAACATCCTAATATGATCCTGTCCATTGTCAACAGCACCCGTGAGCAAGACGTTGACCATGGGGAGTTCAGAGTCCAGGATCTGAGAAGGACCAAAGTGACTTGGTCTTTTTGGGGAGCATCCTGACCATAGCCCTGTTAGCATCACTGCCTAGTTTATTCAACTTAACAACTCTAAAGCCAAAAGAATATGCATGCCTACCTTTAGTGAAAAGGCAGGTGTATGAAGCCAGCAGGTAGCATGGTGGTTAAGGCGCTGGACTCCCACATGACAAACCATGGTTTGAGTTCTAGACCTAGAGGTTTGCTTTCTCACTTTCCCTTTCTGTCTCTGGTGAGCACATGTGCCCTATAGCTAATTTTAAAATAAGAGTAATGAAGAAAAAGATTAAATAAGTAATTCTTTCTTTTTTTTTTAAAAGAAGGTAGGTGGAGAGCCTATAAGGTTAAATCATATTAGACATGTTGTTTTCAAAAGGATGCTCAATCTCATGCTAGAAACCACAACTGAGATGTTGCTATCATAGAAAGGTAAGGATGCATTTTTCTCTTTGTCTAGCTTGTTTGTGGAAAAGCTCCCTAGCCATCGAGAGTACCAGCAATGTGCAGTACCCGAAAAGCAGGATATTATGAAGGTACTGTGGGGTGACTTTTCTCTGGTGGCATCGAGTGCCTCACAATTATCCATTATTGATTCAGCCTCCCTTCCTTTCTTCCCCTTGAGAGTGTAAGCACGAGAAATGTATCCCATTAGTGATGGTGTTTCGATTTCTTAGATGTTTAATGATCGTTACCGAGCCAGTGGGAGTTATTTAATTGATGCTGGAAGAGAGAAAAAGGGCAAGGATATGCTCAATAAAGAAGGAATTATTTTATGATTCTTCGCAGAGATGGAGAGAAGACTTGTGCATGTCCCTGTACTTGCCAGAGTTATTATTTTGTTCTACATTTACTTCGGCTGGTTTCAATTATTCCATGTAGTCCTGAACCCAACAGCTATTTGAAAATTAGTGGTGATTGTTAAGGCAACCACAGCGTTCTGTTTTTCTTTTAAAGTACTGGCCTTATGGATAATAACGTGTTGAGAGGGAGTCCTGAAATAATCTCAAGGAGAAGGAAGGTTGTTGCGATACGGTCATTTACCATGAACATTTGCAACGTACATAGTTTAACATATCTCCAGATGAGACTGTGTCCTTTTAAATAAACCTTTAAAATTATTTCTCTTTTTTTTTTGTCTAAAGTAGTTTGTCTTGATCTTATATGAAGGAAAACAGTAACTACAAAGCCAATCACAGGGTGAAGTTCTAAGTAACTGTTGAAAAATATTCTGTTGTATACCAGCGTGAAGGCTCTCCACCCAGTCAGGCCAGGCCTGAGGCTGCCTGGAAGCATTTTTGTCACGTGGTCATCTACACTTTTTTAATGTCTACACTTATTTCGCTGAGGTGTCATTCACTGTCGTGTGTTTATACCGTAATTCCCCTCCATTCTCTTGTTCATTCGACCCTAGACAGTTCTGTGTGGAAATAGAAGGTCCCAGGCTAATAAGGAGATGCTTACTTACAATTTACGGTTGTTTGTATTTTCCTTTGTGGGAGAAAACTCCTCCAAAAGTTTATACATTTCCCTTATTTATGCCAGTTGAGCAAATGGATTGGTGAATGAACGACTGGCAAAGAAGTAAGAGAACAGAAATGTTGGCCAAAGAAACTGGTAGAGTCAGGGGAGTTGGGTGTTAAATTTAAATCCTAACTAGGATTAAATTTAATACAAATTAATTTAATATAGAAATTCAATTGAAATGAATACAAATTAAATTTAATACAGCTATACCACTCGCTCGTTGTATGAGGCTGGTCAGGCCTTGCAATCCCTAGGCCTTTGTTTCCTCATGTATAAAAGGGGTGTGGTGTTTGGATCATATCAGGTTTTCTAGATTTTTCTTGCCACTAGGAATCACTGGAGAAGTGAAGAACACCTAGACGTGTTGATTTGGTGGAGCTGGGATTAGGCTTGGTATCTACATCATTATAGGAATGCCTTAACTACTTATTAGTGTGGCAAGTCTGGAAATCCTGCCCGCCCCTCTTCTCCAGTGTCCCTTCTACTCAGATGCCATGTGGTTTATGTACTGTGGAACGTGTAGTTATAAACCCCCTCCCTAAAAATGGGGCACTAGCCAAAACAAAATGCTTATCTAACCAGTGGAGTCAATGAAGAGCTTACAAAAGGAATATTTTTCTTCTCTGCTGAAGAGTTGTATTTCTGAGCCCTAGAGAAGAGAGATGTGCATTTTCTGTCTCAACTGATGATCTGAAAGAGTATGTGAAAATCCCACTAATCACTATGATATCTATTTTTAAAAGAAACTGAAGGAGATTGCATTTCCAAGGACAGATGAATTGAAAAAGGACCTTTTAAAGAAATACAACATAGAATACCAAGAATATTTGCAAAGCAAAGTAAGTTCAGTTGGTACAGTTATTTCATGACTGTTTTCTGTGCAAATAATTTTTGAAGTTCATTTTCATAGGATGAGCTTTTCGGATGTCATAGGTATGTAAGTTAAAAATCAAAGCTGCAGTGATGTGAAACCAATAATAAAATTCATGTTGACATCCAGGTTACACACTTGTACCAAAGAGGTGATATTTTTATTTCCTCATGACATTTAATAAAGCACTGCATTAGAAAATACATTTCCTATTTAGGTAGAGTTATTTAGATAGAGTTTTTTGACAAACTCTTGCCAATGTAACCTTGAGCCAGATGGCTGCACTTTGCTAGATGAACAGAGGCAGTGGGAGGTGGGAGAGCACTGAATGGTTTCTGATGTATCTAATGATGTAGGCATTGGAAATGTGCACTTGGTTCTTAAAGGTCACAGTCAGTACTACAGTGAGCTGGAGGAACAGCTAACCATATGGGTGAAACGTAATTATATGATCAAAGAGTGGTGACTTCTGGATTGTTAATATAAAATAGAGTGGATATTGACATCTAAGAGACAGAAAGGGGTTGAAAGGAAAAGACGACCAGGAAGCCTATGGGATACTCAACTTCAAAATGTGCATCCTTCACTTTTGTAGCACCATGACCAAGTTGGGGTTTTGTGTATTAGTTTGCTGTTGAGTTTAGGGCCTTCACTGACTCTCACTTCATTTTAATCTCATCAGCTCTGAAAATGTTCGTAGAACTTCTTGACTTTCTATGGACAAAGCCAGAAGGCTGGTTTGAATGAGGTGCTTTAACTGAGCGGTAGAGCAAATATGATCAGAATGGTCCACCTGTGCAAATCAATGATGTGATTTGAAACGTGTAAAATACAAGTGATCCCAGAGGCTAAGACAAAGCAATGGCAAGGGAGAGAGAAGAAAAGCCCAGTTCCGGTCTCCCGTCTGCGGTCAGCAGCAGTGTGTATGGTCTTCCAATTCAGGACCTTCCGGAAAGGAACGGCCTCAGCAGCTATCCCGCGTTCCGCCTTCATCCATAATAGCATCCCGTGTGTGTGACGGTAGAAGTCTCTGTGAGGATAGAGTGGCAGCAGCTATGCCAAGGAAAAAGGAGCAGGCATGCCTGCAGGCTGCAGTGTCCTCTGGAACCTTGTTAGAAATGCAGTCTCAGGCCCCACTCAGACCTGCTAGATCCGAATCGGCACTGTGACAAGACCTGGGATGGCTTGTGTGCCCAGGAGTCACTACCCCCGCTTTACAGTTGCTCCTCAAATCTAATTTCCATCAAAGTCATTTGGAGAGCTTATTAAAATTGTATATTCTCTGGGTGTATAATGCCTGCATATGTTGCTATGTCCAGGGAGCTTGGGACTCTTCATTTTTAACAGAACTCTTGACAGAGATGGTTGGAACATACTTTGAGAACCATGTCTTAGTGAGTCTCCCTTCTCCATAAAATTCCAGCATAGTTTGAATTCTTGAGTCAAATGTTAAAGGTGCCAGGGTAGCTCTGTCCAGTAGAGCTTCCTGCAATGGCGTAAATGTTCTAGCTGCACTTTCCAATATGGTAGCCATTAGACATGTGTAGCTAGGGGTTGGACGCTTAGAGTGCTACTAGTGCAACTGAGGAAAGAATTTGCCATTGTTTTACTTTTGTTTTTTTCTTTTGTTTGTTTTTTTTTTAGAGGTTTTTGCTATAGGGCACGTGCACTCGCCAGACAGACAGAGAGAGACAGAGAGACAGAAAGCGAGAAATCACCCCCCAGGGGGGATGGCCACGCCATAATCCCTTCTCCTCCATTCTTCTCTCGGGATCTTGGGCACTCATGCACACACACCCGGCGTGAGTGTTAAGCCACCGGGTTCGGGACACGAACCGCGGTCGACTACGTGGGAGTCCAGTGACATAGCCATTATGCTAACTGCTGGTCCCACAATTGCATTTACTTTTAATTAATTTAAAGTTAAGTAGCCACCTGTGGTTAGTGGCTACTATCAATATATTAGTGTATTATGGAATATAGGCCAGCCTATGCATGGTTAAGGGCGTTATATCCCACATAGCCAACCATGTGGTTTGAATCCCAGACTAGGCAGCTTAAAAATGTGTGCATGTGTGCCTACAATCCCAAAAGGAGGGAGAAATGGAGGAGAAGTGATGTCAGTATGGCCATTCCTCATGGGGGTTGCTTTCTTCCTCTCCCTCCCTGTCTTTCTGTGGCAAGTCACACACCCTCTAGCACATTAGAAGTGTAATAATACCATGTATGACTGTATACTGTATTTTGTTCCATGTGATCTGGTTGGGCAGGCTAAGCAGACAACCCTAACTTTGATTTTCCAATGTTTAGAAGTGCAGGGAAATGCAGAGCACTTGACAGCCATGACCTGTCTCTGGTCGAATATGAGTGTATTTAGAACTGGCACCATGGGCAAATGCAGGGGTTCTGCTGTAAGGTGTGCGACTTCCTTACTGTCCTCACTGTCTCCCGAGCATCCCCAGGGGCGTATTGCAGCATCTAGCTGTCTCTTTATCTGCTAGAAGATTGAGAGTCTCTAACCCCAGCTGGATGGTTATTCCTTGGAAGCTAACCTTATCTCCTGGCATCCACATTTTTTAGAACAAATATAAAGCGGAAATTCTCAAAAATCTGGAACATCAGAGATTGATAGAGGCAGAAAGGAAGCGGATCGCTCAGATGCGCCAACAACAGCTGGAATCTGAGCAGTTTCTGTTTTTCGAAGATCAACTCAAGAAGCAAGAATTAGCCCGAGGTCAGATGCGCAGTCAAGCGAGCCCGGCGCTGTCGGAGCAGATCGATGGGAGCGCTGTGTCCTGCTTCTCCACGCACCAGAACAATTCCTTGCTGAATGTATTTGCCGACCAACCCAACAAAAGTGATGCCACCAGTTATGCTAGCCACTCTCCTCCCTTGAACAGGGCCTTACAGCCGGCTGCTACCCTCAGTGCGGTTCAGGGTAAGTGCCAGCTACATGCCTGCGAGACATGGGAGCTTTTAGCTGATGGAATCACACTTCTGCATCTGAGGGAGCGCTCCTCATTTCATTATTGTCATTGCACCCCTACACGGCATGGTTTCAATGACAGTATTCAAACTTTCAGTCCTCTCTGGCTTTTACGACATACACTGTCAATATTCAGGGGACACGATTTGCCTCAACAGCCCAGAGACCACAATCAATGGGGTGGTATTTTGTCCTTGAACAAGATTTTAAATGAGATAAATTCCAGTCATTTTTTCTTCCATGTACTTTAAACCAAGAAACGCATAAATATTAGAAGTAAGCACTTACATAGTGGAGCAGGAAGAAGAGGTTGAGAAAATGATTTGTCCAGACTTTCGCTCAGCAATAGCGTATTTAGGTTCAGTGTGTTTGGCACGTTCCCTGGGCTGAGAGAATATTGTGCTCTCAGTACAAACGAAATGGATTTGCATTTCTGCCAACAGTTAGTGCTGCTTAGTCCTGGTAGGTCAATGTAGCGAGTTTCCAAAATCAAACAGGGAATTCTTCCTGGCAGACACAGGCAGACGGAATTTGTGTTCCCACTTATTTTAAAAGAGTTCTGACAAGCAACCATTTTATAAATGACTTTACTGCTAATCATTTCCAAAATTGCTATGCTTTTGCTTGCTGATCGCCTATCTGCATAAGTATTTAGGTAACCTATGGTAAGTTAGGGTTAGGGTAAGTACGATAAAGAGCCCCGGGGGTTGGGGAGAGGGAACCTGTTGTCCCAGCTACTCAGGAGGCTAAGGCAAGGGGATAAGGGGATTGCAAGTTCATGGCCAGCCTTGGCAACATAATGAGACCCTGTCTCTAAAAAAAATACCCACCCCCAAAAAAGAAGACTATCTTAAGTTCTATAGGAATGAGATGCATGCAATGCATTTAAACTGTAAAGTGACCTTGAGCCAAGAGAAAACATAACACTTGTAACTGTATTCATGAGTTGCTTAAGGACAGGGACACTCTGAGACGTGGGGGGAGGCGATTTCGTTGTCACGTGCCCATCACAGAGTGCAGCTGTGCAGACCTGCCCTGCAGAGCCCGCTGCACCCCTGGCTGTAGGATGCAGTCTTGCTCCACCGTCCGACATTCCAAACATCGTCGTCCAAAATGTCCTTACATACCCATGACTATCACTGACCCAAGGCATGAAGATGGAAAAGTGCTCGCACCTTCCCATTTTGCTTATAAGATCATTTATATACTAAACGTAATGTCACCTTCCTTCTAGCCAATGTTCGCTTTGAAGAGTTTTTCAGTTCAAAAAATAAAAAAAGTGAAGCCTGGGATAAGTTCATTTTTGAAAGTTATATTTAGCTGCAGCTGTATATCCCGAACAGTTATAAAGAATGGGATGCAAGTTTTGTTTGTTAGCTTTTTCTCCTTTCTCTGTTTCTCAGATTTAGTGGTGGAAGGACTGAGATGTGTGGTTTTACCAAGAGATCTTTGCCACCGATTTCTGCTGCTGGCGGAGGCTAACACAGTGAGAGGGATAGAGACCTGTGGAATCCTCTGTGGGAAACTGGTATGACCTTTTTTTATGTCTCTGGACAGGGTACGTCTAATAATACTAGCTTTTTAAATAATAAGCAGAATAAAATGAGAGCATCCTAAGTTATAAATAGTACAAAATTAACTTCGCAAAAATGGATTTCAGAAAACTACTGTTTTTATCAGTGAAATTATTCTTGTAGAAAATGAACTATAAAATTTCAGGGACACTATTAAAACCTGTCTTAAATAAGCAGTCAAGCCATAAACTAAATCTTTGTTTAGAAAATTGATAGGTTACACAGATCTTTCCAAATTCACCTGGCTTCCGAAATCAAATTTCTGCCACGATTTTTGTTTGACATTATCCCTATGATTAACTTCTTACCTGTTTTTACTCATGACAGGTATCATCCTGCCATCTTTGTATTTATTTATTTTTTTAAGGAGGTTTTTGCCGTAGGGTGCATGCCCTCGCCGGAGACAGTGAACTGCTGTTTAGTTGAATAGCTGTTTTATTCATGGCACATTCTGTAGCTTTATTCCACCGTTTTGTCGTCTCTGGTCCTCCAGCAAAGAAGAAGTCACTGGGGACAAGCACAGGGGGTTGCCCACTGTCTCCCACCCGCAGTTGCCTTCCTCGCCCTCCAGGGGGCAGTGTGCTATTGATGTGTCCTCTTCCACACCAGATGTCCGTCCATTCGCTTGGTCATTATTCATTCACCCCTTCAGCAGACACGGGCACTGGGTACCTGCATGGCGGGCACCGTGTAAGTGTTGGCACCCAGTAGCCTGAAGCAGCCACAGTCCCGCACGATGCTCATGAAGAGCTAGACAGATGGGTGATGATAAAGGTGGGCGAGGGGTGAACGCTCTCAGAAGCACAGAGGTTCACCGGCACATGGAACTGGGAACTCTCACCTTGTCAAGAAGGATTTCCCAAAGAAATGATGTCTAAGTCAGGGCTGAAGAATATATATGCCATGAAAGGAGAGGTGGGATGGGGGAAAGACTTGCAATCAAGGCTGAGGAGCAGTGCCCAGTTTGCAAGAAGGGCCCAAAGCAAGACATAGTATGCGCTGTGGAGGGGTGGTCCCCTCCTGCCTGGGGCGTGGCAGCCTTTCCCAGCACAAAATTCTCTTCCCTCCGCCTTCCACTCTGGTTTATTTTTGCCTGAGGAGGGTAATTTGTTTTTCCTTTGTCTTTAACTATTACAAATCCCAAACATTATCTTAATGATGGAAGTTCGCACGGAGTCTTTCCATTATTAGAAGAAAGTCTAATAAAGAAGTAAAATGAAATCTAATTAGGAAACTAAAAACAAGACCATCAACCTCCACAACCCTTTAGAAATGCCCTTCAGTGAACACACAAAGATATTTTGTGTCTTTCCCTCCCAATAAACCTTGCCTTGTTCAGTTCTGATTGGTTTTCCACTGCCATGTCGTATGGTAAGACTTTATTAACTGCAGTCCCTGGGCTGCCCCCCACACCGCCAGCAGCATCTTGCTAACTCCTACTGATGGTCTGTTTTCAATTAGAAAATGGGCTTTCGGTTCTAGACATCTGACGCATATTTTGTGGAAAGGACACATTTCTCCCTCGGGGACTTTGCTCTGGAATTGGTGTGATGGGGTGTGGGGTGTGGCGATCAGGGGTCCTCTCGAGTCTGGCGCTGCCACATTGCACTTCCTGTTCCCGTGTTGTCAGATGCTTGTAATTCTTTATGTGAATTGTTTTGTAGACGCATAATGAGCTTACTATTACCCACGTCATCGTGCCAAAGCAGTCTGCGGGACCGGACTACTGCGACATGGAGAATGTAGAGGAATTGTTCCGTGTGCAGGATCAGCACGACCTTCTCACCTTAGGCTGGATCCACGTATGTTTTGACCTCTGCCGCTTCGTTTTATTTTTGTGCTGTTTTCACCCTTGAAGAAATGCAGCTTCTTTTAAAACAATGTCTTATGTTTAAAATGTTCAAATGTTATCAATATGATATTAAAACATTTTATTCAATGTTAGGCTATGTCTAAACCTATCAAGTCTGGGCTGGAGACAGGTATCTAATGCTTTTTTTTGTACCATCGAAAGTTAAAAGAAAAAAAGAGTCATATTAGGTAATTAGGAAATTGATCATTTTAATAATCTAATGAAGGCTTAGTCAGATGTTTAATGGATTTGACTTCTCTTTCCTTTGCTGTGGCTCATTTAGATTATTATTATTATTATTTTTGGAGAGGTTTTTCGCTATAGGGCGCGTGCGCTCACCAGACAGAGAGAGACAGAGAGACAGAAAGCGAGAAATCACCCCCCAGGGGGGATGGTCACGCCGCAATCCCTTCTCCTCCAATCTCCTGTCAGGATCTTGGGCACGCACGCACACGTGTCCGGCGTGAGTTTTAAGCCACTGGGTCTGGGACGCGAACCACGGTCGACTACATGGGAGTCCAGCGACATAGCCATTACGCTAACTGCTGGTTCCCTAGACTATTTTAAGAATATTTCTAAAACTATTTCTTTTATACAGGTGTATGTATATATCCAGTAGGCTCCAGTCATTCTATCACACCTCCCTTCTAAGCCAAAGACATGCATTCACTCTATAAATAGACAGAGCGTAGAGCCAAGGGGTTAGAAAAAGGGAGAAAACTGGGCCACGTGCACCAGACCATCGCAGGAGCTGGGAATGACTTTCAAGCCAGATGCATGCGAGTTTGAATCTCAGCTCTGCCTTGAATTCCTTGACTATTGGCACGTTATTTATGCAATTTGAGTATCCGCTTTTGTCATCCGTAACAAGGGAATCCTAATAATTGACTGCATGTGTTGAATATTAAGTGAAATCATGCAGTGAATTTCTTAGCCCAGTTTTCCAGGGACTCAGCAAACTGCGGAGGCTGTTATTGGCGATGATACTCTCCTCTTCTTATCGTAGTTCAAGCCATCCAGGGGACATTTTTTGCATTTAGTGTCATGCAGCTAGATCTGGGATGCTTCCTAAGTCTGTCTGTGCTGCTGTCACAAAATCATCTGGAACTGGGTGATTTATAAAGAACAGAAATGTACTTCTTAGAGTTCTGAAGATTGGCAAATCCAGTGGTAGGTGCCATACTGGAGTCTGGTGAGGGTTGCTCTTTGCTTCCAAGATGGTGCCTTATTACTCACGCGACAGAAGGTCAGAGAAGGCTCCCTCTACCTCCAAACCCTTTAATAAGGTGCTAATCCCATCACGAGGACAGAGCTTTTCTAATTTAATCATTCCCAGAGGCCGCATTTCTTCCTGCTATTGCATTAGGGATTAAGTTTCAACATGAATTTTGCAGGAGACACCATCATTCAAACCACAGCAGGTAGGAACAGGTCATCCCACTGGCGTGTGGCAGGGCACATCCTGGGGACCTGCAAGAGCCCCTGAGCCATAAGTGATCATTTTGTATTTTGTTTTCTTTTTAGGGAAAGGATGAGTAGGGATAGCGCACATATGCCTACGTGCACAGACACACACACACACACACACTTGCCAAGTATTTGGTCATATGTGAGTTAGGGGGTAGAGACTGCAGCCACAGCTTCACTTACAGATGGCTCCACTTAGATATCCCTGTGTGCCTGGAGTCAGGACTCCTAAGTCCTGTTTGCAGATTCCCTCCTGAACTGAGTGAGCCTAGCGAGTGCCCTTTCTTCTCACTGGATGTGTGTGAGGAGTAAGCAAGGTACCAGGTGAGAATGCCCTTCGAAAAGTGTAAACTGCCTGTCAAATGCAAGGAATGGTTTATGATGAAGAGTTTGTAAAACTTTCCATATGTCTATTTGCTTTACTTTTTTTTTTTTTTTTTTTTTTTAGAGGTTGTTAGCTATAGGGCGCATGCGCTCGCCAGAAAGACAGAGAGAGACAGAGAGACAGAAAGCGAGAAATCACCCCCCAGGG